TGTCCACCGCCAAATTCATAAGTCGAAGCCCTAGCCCCCAGTCCCTCAGAATGTATTTGAAAATAGAGCCTTTACAGAGGCAATTAAGTTAAATTGGGGTCATTAGTTGGGCCCTGATCCAATAAAACCAGTGTCCTTATAAGCAGGGGAGAATAGGACAGAGGGAGATTCACCAGACCCATACGAAGGCCCAGACCCCGGGCCAACCATGTGAGGACACAGGGAAAAATCAGCCATCTGAAAGCCAGGGGGAGAGGCCTCGGAAGGAACCAAACCTGCTCACACCTTGATCTTGGATTTCTAGCCTCCAGAACTGTGAGAAAATAAATTTCCATTGTTTAAGCCATGCCTCCTATGGTATTTTGATATGGCAGTCCTCAAGCGTTAACATTCACATTTAATGTGAATCTTTGTTGTTTAGTGTTCTTACAAAGTATAAAATACTGTTCCATGTGCGTGAATTTATACTTTATATAAATGTCATCACGCCATATGCCTTCACTTTCAGCTTTAATTTAAGGCCTATGGGGGAAGACCTTGTGCTCTGCAAAGATGACTTAATCCCTAAAGAAGAGGATTTACCCAAGATATATTCCTTTCTAAATAATTATATTAGTCATCACATGCATAAAAAGTACACAACTAAAATATTCAGAATTCAAAATAATGCATTTATGCATCAGGAAAGTTGTAGGCGCATTCAACATAACAGTAAATACTCTGTTTGACTCTTCTCCAGTGGTCGTCTTCTATGTTTTCTCCCCTGAAATGCAAGCATAAAGACAAGAGTAAAACAATAATGTTAATACATGAGGGTTGTTCCTCGGAGAATATATCCTTCTTTTAACATCCACGTCACTCTATTTCTTTAAATAACGACTTAGGCAATTTTAGACTTTGAAGTAAGGGGGCAGTGGGGAAGCCAACAAAGATAGTGGCATAATAAACATATTAGTTACACATAAAATTTGTTATAATTTGACTCCTAGACCATCAATCCCTAGATCTCACATATTCCATTTGTGCTATAATGAATCTCTGAAGGGAAGTAAGTTACTTCAACAGAAACACTTTAAACATTGTGTCCCTAGGATGTCATGGAACTGAAGTCACTTCAGTAATACAGGCTCAGACTCCCACACAGAAGACTCTCAGGGGTTCTCATTGAATTCCTAGAGGGAGAGCTTGTTAAGGAACCAATCCCAGGTGACATCTTTCCCAAGGATGTTAAAGGCCATGCGCATACCCTAGATTACCTATGCTCAGAGTTACAGTCTCAAAGGTTTACAGAACCTCATTGACTATTACTGCCATATCCACATAGAGACTCTCACTAAGAACCTGAAGCAGATTCTCCATTAGAGGTGGGTACAATATATTTTTATACAATGGTTTTTAAGGGATCCCAAACCATACTTTAAGATGAGGCACTTCATCTTCATTTTGGAAGACACTGGGAATTATGTATAACCAAATAATACAATGCTTAAAGTAAAGATTGTTTTAAAGATTCATACTATTTTCAGAAATTTAGGGTATCTAATAAGACCAAGCTATTTATGTTTGCAAATTAGACCTGGCATCATTATATCTAATGTATTTAAGTTTGTTTATTCCTCACTGAGACTTTTTATAGCATAGTTTTATTTTTGCAATGTTATCTACAATGAAAATTGTATGTTTCACAGGATATTTTGAGAAATATACACAACTACTCAAAGTGTAAATACTGCCCCGTTTTGAGAATATAAATATAGATTGCAATTTTCTCAGAAAAACAATTAATTAAATCCAATAACTTACAGGAAACTAATATATATACACACACATACACATATGCATATACAGATGTATATGTATATGTACATACAAATTCATATATATATATGTAAGCATAATATGTAATAAATGTAATAATGGAACATGTTTAAACTATCTATCTTACGGTAAATAAATCTGCCAATATTTTAGTTAAGAAAATATCAGAAAGATTTCCATGAGATATCATCAAAAAGAAGGCTTCCATTTGAGGAGGGATACTTGCATAAGCATGAGTAAGACTTTAAGAAACTCAGAAAGATAGACTCCTGGTGTGAGAGGACACAATTTCTACTACGTTATCCAGGAAAAAATAAAACCGAGCAAGAAAACATGCATTTTCTTTGTTGATCTTGGTTCAAATAACGTAAAAGAGAATGTTGACAAAAATTTTTCTTTCTTTTTCCTGTACGATAAATTTTATAATAAAAGAGAATGCAAAATACATAGAAACTATTTCTAAAATTGACAAAGTTTTAGATGTAGAGAGCTCATATTTCTTAGAAGAATGTATATTCTTCTTAATGTTAGAAAGATATATTTAATCTTTAATAATTTTCCTAGAGGAAAATTAGAGAGTGATAATCAATTTGTATCTCACCTAAATGTGATTTATTCAATTATTGAAATAATATTTATTTCACTGACAGACTTAGGATTCTAAGAATTACATCTTTATTAGTGGTATTATGGTTTTTCCTAAATATGAAGTCCTGAACTATTGAACACATTTACTCTGTTTAAATAGATGCTACCCCAATTTCTCACATAATAACCCTCTCTCACAATGCATATGGGGATATGAGATTAACAACAATGTCCCACTGGAGACTTCTTTAAGGATGGGATCAAGGGTAGGCCTTTATGTCAGTTCTCAAGGGTTTAAAAATGAGGATTCGAACAAACAATTAGACCTCACAATCTCCACCTAGGCAATCAAAGTGGAAAAAATGTTGAGGAAATACAGATTCTCCATTAGAGAAATAGAGAGACCACTATACTTTGCTTATAAGGATTAACAAGAACTCTTCTATGGTTATGAAGGGCACTGGCTTCAGAACGTTAGACAGAGCCATCTTCCACTTTGTCAACCCATGGATCACATGTAGGAGCAGGTACCTCTATTTGAATGTTTAGTTTTTGCTTGTTCATTACAGGAGTCAAATCTATATTATACTCTGAAACATTCTCTTATGCCATAACAAGACTTCTGAAAATTTTGCATTTTGATGAAAAGAATCTGGGGCTTCACATTCTCAAAAATAAAAACTTCTTCTATGAAACAAAGCCAACAATTGAAACTAGAAAAAAGGTATTC